TTTCAACTGCTCTTTCAACTCTGTTGGTGCCATTCTATGAGACGGAATAGAGATGGGATGAGTATCTGGAATGAGATCTATGCCGAAATCTATTTCTCTCTCAGGAGGAATTCCGGGTAGATCATCAGGAAACACTTCTGGAAACTCTCTTACTACAGGAACTGCCTGAAAATGAGGTATCTCAATACTAGAGTCATGAACTCGGACTAAGTGATAGATACAACCCTTTGAAACTAACTTTCTTGCCTTGAGGTACGAAATAAAATGACCCTTAGGCACTGCTGAACTACTACTCCAATCTAAGACTAGCTTATTCGGAAACTGAAACTTGACTGCTCGAGTTCTACAATCTATCGATGCATAACAAGCATGGAGCCAATCCATACCTAGAATGACATCGAAATCTACCATGTCTAACTCAACCAAATTAGCCATGGTGCTCTTGTGATTGATGGAAACAGGACAATCACGATAAACTCTTACTGCTAATATAGAATCCCCAACAGGTGTAGAAACACAAAAGGGTTCACAAAGTCTTTCAGGAAGAACATCAAACTTATTTGCAACATAAGGAGTTACAAAAGATAAACTTGCTCCTGGATCTAACAAAGCATACACATCAAAAGTAAAGACTTTGATCATACCAGTGACAACATTTGGAGAATTCTCTTGCTCATGACGACTGGTGATTGCATAGAGGAAGTTTGCTCCTCTGCCGAAAATAGAAGTAGCTCCTCTAGGTACCATCTTGTCTGGGGGAGCAACTGAAGAAGACTGTGCTCTATTGCCCTCATTACCCTGTCTGTTCTTTGGACACTCTCGCATGAAATGTCCATTCTGTCCACACTTGAAGCAACCTGTCTGGCCCTGACGACACTTCCCTGTGTGGGTTCTACCACACCTAGCACATGTAGGAGCCTTACTACCCCGTGGCACCATACTGCCTTGAGGATAGGTAAGTCTAGCCCTGAAACTATAGGAATCTATATTATACCCATCTTTGTTCTTAGGTGTAGGTGCACTAGCAGATGGTGGAACAGGTCTCTTCTGTTTCTGTGGGAGAGCTGACTGATTAGCATCATTCTTTTGCTTCCTGAACTCGTTCCCTACTATCTTAGCCCTCTTATCCTTAAACTCTTCTCTATCCTTCAGCTTATCCTCCTCAACTTGTTGTAAATGGATCATAAATCTTGCAAGGTCAATATCCCCTATCAGCATAGCTGCCTTGCCTTCCTTGCTTGACTGACGAGACAACCCAGC